TAACTTTAAGCATCAGTTCTCAGAGCACCTTACCGATCACTGCCCATCTGAAAATAGCCCACCCAACTACCTCATCCCCATATTGTTTGTTATTTATTTTGCTCACTTGCACCCCAGTATCTCTATTTGCACATCAACTCTTGCACAGCTATCATTCCAGTGTTAATATTAATTGTAATTATTTTGCACTATGGCCTATTTATTGCCTTACCTCCATAACTTGCTACATTTGCACACACTGTATATATATTTTCTGTTGTATTTTTGACTTTATGTTATGTTTACCCCATATGTAACTCTGTGTTGTTGTATTTATCGCACTGCTTTGCATTATCTTGGCCAGGTCGCAGTTGTAAATGAGAACTTGTTCTCAACTGGCTTACCTGGTTAAATAAAGGTGAAATAAAATAAAACGATCTTGCATGGAGCCCCAGGCCGAGGGAGATTGACAGTTATTTTGTGTTTCTTCCATTTCCGAATAGTCGCACCAACTGTTGTCACCTTCTCACCAAGCTGCTTGGCGATGGTCTTGCAGCCCATTCCAGCCTTGTGTAGGTCTACAATCTTGTCCCTGCCATCCTTGGAGAGCTCTTTGGTCTTGACCATGGTGGAGATTTGGGAATCTGATTGATTGCTTCTGTGGACAGGTGTCTTTTATACAAGTAACAAGCTGAGATTAGGAGCACTCCCTTTAAGAGTGTGCTCCTAATGTCAGCTCGTTACCTGTATAAAAGACACCTGGGAGCCAGAAATCTTTCTGATTGAGAGGGGGTCAAATACTTATTTCCCTCAATAAAATGCAAATCAATTTAGAATATTTTTTACATGCGTTTTTCTGGATATTTTTGTTATTCTGTCTCTCACTGTTCAAATAAACCTACCATTAAAATGATAGCCTGATAATTTCTTTGTCAGTGGGCAAACGTACAAAATCAGCATGGGTTGAAATATTTTTTTCCCTCACTGTACACCTGTTCTGAAAGGACCCAGAGTCTGCAACACCACTAAGCAAGGGGCACCACCAAGCAAGCGGCACCATGAAGACCAAGGAGCTCTCCAAACAGGTCAGGGACAAAGTTGTGGAGAAGTACAGATCAGGGTTGGGTTATAAAAAATATCAAAAACTTTGAACATCCCACGGAGCACCATTAAATCCATTATTAAAACATGGAAAGAATATGGCACCACAATAAACCTGACAAGAGAGGGCCGCACACCAAAACTCACAGACCAGGCAAGGAGGATATTAATCAGAGAGGCAACAAAGAGACCAAAGATAACCCTGAAGGAGCTGCAAAGCTCCACAGCGGAGATTGGAGTATCTGTCCATAGGACCACTTTAAGCCGTACACTCCACAGTGCTGGGGTTATGGAAGAGTGGCAAGAAAAAAGCCATTACTTAAAGAAAAAAATAAGCAAACACGTGGTGATTGCCAAAGGGAATGTGGGAGACTCCCAAAACATATGGAAGAAGGTGCTCTGGTCAGATGAGACTAAAATTGAGCTTTTTGGCCATCGCAAACCCAACACCTCTCATCACCCCATTAACACCATCCTCACAGTGAAGCTTGGTGGTAGCAGCAACATGCTGTGGGCATGTTTTTCATCGGCAGGGACTGGGAAACTGGTCAGAATTTAAGGATTGATGGATGGTGCTAAAAACAGGGAAATTCTTGGGGGAAACCTGTTTCAGTCTTCCAGAGATTTGAGACTGGGACAGAGGTTTACCTTCCAGCAGGACAATGACCCTATACAAACTGTGAAAGCAACACTCGAGTGGTTTAAGGGGAAACATTTAAATGTCTTGGAATGGCCTAGTCAAAGCCCAAACCTCAATCCAATTGAGATTCTGTGGTATGACTTAAAGATTGCTATACACCAGCGGAACCCATCCAACTTGTAGGAGCTGGAGCAGTTTTGCCTTGAAGAATGGGCAAAATTCCAAGTGGCTAGATGTGCCAAGCTTATAGAGACATACCCCAAGAGACTTAAAGCTGTAATTGCAATAAAACTAATATTGTGCATCTTCAAAGTGGTAGGCATGTTGTGTAAATCAAATGATACAAACCCCCACAAAATCAATTTTAATTCCAGGTTGTAAGGCAACAAAATAGGAAATATGCCAATGGGGGTGAATACTTTCGCAAGCCACTATGTAAGGTCCCACAGTTGACTGCATGTCAGAGCAAAAACCAAGCCATGATGTCGAAGGAATTGTCCGTAGAGCTCCGAGACAGGATTGTGTCGAGGCACAGATATGGATTGCAAAATATTTCTGCAGCATTGAATGTCCCCAATAACACAGTTTGGAACCACAAAGACTCATTCTAGAGCTGGCAGATCTGAGCAATCGGGGGAGAAGGGCCTTGGTAAGGGAGGTGACCAAGAACCCAATAGTCACTCTGTCAGAGTTCAAGAGTTCCTCTGTGGAGATGGGAGAACCTTCCAGAAGGACAACCATCTCTGCAGCACTTCACCAATCAGGCCTTTTGTGATAGAGTGGCCAGACGGAAGCCAATCCTTTAGTGAAAGTCACATGACAGCCCACTTGGAGTTTGCCAAAAGGCAGCTAAAGGACTCTCAGACCATGAGAAACAAGATTATCTGGTCTGATGAAACCAAGATTGAACTCTTTGGCCTGAATGCCAAGCCTCACGCTCATCACCTGGCCAATACCATCCCTACGGTGAAGCATGGTGGTGTCAGCATAATGCTGTGGGGATGTTCTTCAGCGGCAGGGACTGGGAGACTATTCAGGATCGAGGGAAAGATGAATGGAGCAAAGTACAGAGAGATCCTTGATGAAAACCTGCTCCAGAGCACTCAGGACCTCAGACTGGGGCGAAGGTTCATCTTCCAACAGGACAACGGCCCTAAGCACACAGCCAAGACAACGCAGGAGTGGCTTCGGGACAAGTTTCTGAATGTCCTTGAGTGGCCCAGCCAGAGCCCGGACTTGAACCCGATCGAACATCTCTGGAGAAACCTGAAAATTGTTGTGCGGCGACACTCCCCATCCAACCTGACAGAGCTTGAGATGATCTGCAAAGAAGAATGAGAGAAACTCCCCAAATGCATGTGTGCCAAGGTTGTAGCATCATACCCAAGAAGACACCAAGACACCAAGTCACTTGGCTCTGTCATATCCTCACATGGTCTCTCCTATCATTGCTACGCAGACGACACACAATTAATTTTCTCCTTTCCCTGATAACCAGGTGGCGAATCACATCTCTGCATGTCTGGCAGACATATCAGTGTGGATGTCGGAACACCACCTCAAGCTGAACCTCGGCAAGACGGAGCTGCTCTTCCTCCCGGGGAAGGACTGCCCGCTCCATGATCTCGCCATCATGGTTGACAACTCCATTGTGTCCTCCTCCCAGAGTGCAAATAACCTTGGCGTGACCCTGGACAACACCCTGTCGTTCTCCGCTAACATCAAAGTGGTGACCCGATCCTGCAGGTTCATGCTCTACAACATTCGCAGAGTACGACCCTACCTTACACAGAAAGCGGCACAGGTCCTAATCCAGGCGCTTGTCATCTCCCGTCTGGATTACTGCAACTCGCTGTTGGCTGGGCTCCCTGCCTGTGCCATTAAACCCCTACAACTTATCCAGGACGCTCGTGTTCAACCTTCCCAAGTTCTCTCATGTCAACCCGCTCCTCACACTCCACTGGCTTCCAGTTGAAGCTCGCATCTACTACAAGACCATGGTGCTTGCCTACGGAGCTGTGAGGGGAACGGCACCTCCTTAACTTCAGGCTCTGGTCAGACCCTACACCCAAACGAGGGCACTATGTTCATCCACCTCTGGCCTGCTAGCTCCCCTACCTCTACGGAAGCACAGTTCCTGCTCAGCCCAGTCAAAGCTATTCGCTGCTCTGGCACCCCAATGGTGGAACAAGCTCCCCCACAACGCCAGGACAGCGGAGTCACTGACCACCTTCCGGAGACACTTGAAATCCTACCTCTTTAAGGAATACCTGGAATAGTATAAAGTAATCCTTCTTCCCTCACCCCTGATACAAAAAATAAATAGTAAATAAATACATAAATTAAAAAGAAATTGGTGGTTGTCCCACTGGCTATCATAAGTTGAATGCACCAATTTGTAAGTCGCTCTGGATAAGAGCGTCTGCTAAATGATGTAAAATTTAAAATAAAATAAAAAAGACAATGCTGTAATCGCTGCCAAAGGTGCTTAAACAAAGTACTGAATAAAGGATCTGAATACTTATGTAAATGTGATATTTATTTTTATTTATTTTTATACATTTGCAAAAAACATCTAAAAAGCTGTTTTTGCTTTGTAATTATGGGGTATTGTGTGTATTTTGTTGTGGGAAAAAAAACAATTTAATACATTTTAGAATAATGCTGTAACGTAACAAAATGTGGAAAAAGTGAAGAGGTCTGAATACTTTCCGAATGCACTGTATATGTGATCGAATACAAATGTAAGCAAGATTTGAAATTATTATGTTTTAGTCTAATGTTATATTTTTTTGGCCTTCTTGTGGTCAATTTGCAGTCTACAAATTATTTGTAATTATGTTCTGGCCTCCTGACCATCCGCTCAAGAAAAGATTCCCCGCAGTTGAATCTAGTTGATGATCCCTGAGCTACAATATAACGTTCTGACTTCATTCATTAAAAGAAGACGCTGGCTGCTACCGAAATGGCACTCCCCTATTCCCTTGTGCACTATAGGGCTCAGCTAAAAATAAATTGCACTACATTGTTATAGGGTGCCATTTTGGTCGCAGACTAAGACATATCCCTAATCTGCCTGACGACCCGTCATCTACTACACTGCTAACCCTCCCATCACACCATTTGTAATTGTGACCTCTCTCTCCTCTCACCCCCGCCTCTCTCTCTCTCTGTCTCTCTCTCTGTCTGTCTCTCTCTCTCTGTCCCCCCAGGCGTGGTGCGTGTGTCTCTGGCGGGCATGGACCGAGAGGTCAGAGAGAACTATTCCGTCATCATCCAGGCCAAGGACATGGGAGGCCAGCTAGGGGGTCTGGCTGGAACCACCATCGTTAACATCACCCTCAGTGACGTCAACGATAACCCACCCATGTTTGATCAGAGTAAGAAGCAGAGCCTCCTCTCTTCTCCTGGGTCTGGTCTACTTAGTTCATTGACTCTATATGAGCCAGAAAAAATGGGAGCGGGATGTCTCGCTTCCTCTTCCATCTCTGCTGTCCTCTTGCTCTTTCTCTCCAGCGCTCGCCACCACTTCATCAACAGCCTCCCTTGTCCATCTCCTTCAGACCATGCTCTCGCTCTCCTCCCTCCTCATCATCATCTTTGGCCACCAGTCAGTCACCATCCCGTTAACCCTCCCCACTCTCACATTACTCTTTCTGTCCTCATCATCCCTCCATCTACCCCCCTCCCCAACACTCTCGCTGCTCTCCCTCTTTCCATCCCTCCTCGGCCACCAGTTGCCCATGCCCCCACCCCCCTCTTTCTCTCTGTCTCTTTGATTGGCCCCATTCCTGCTCTCCACATTACCGTTCAATGAGACATCAGCAGGTCATCTCTCTCATCTGTCTATCCTCGGCCATCCCCTAGCTGTCTGCCTGACTGGTGGCCTTGTCTCTTCCTCTCTCTCCCCCCTTATTTCCCTCTTGCCCCCTTCTCTTCTCTCCAATTAGTCACATCGCTTAAGTGAGACTTTAATACATTGTGAGGAGCTTCAGGTGCACTTGTCTGACAACCATAATGTGTGACCGTTTCAGTTCGGACAGAAGGAGTACGGCAAATTGGGAACCACTGTCACCCCTGTTTTTGAAAAGAGGTTAAATTCTTGAAATGAATTCTCGTTGAACCATAAGACAATATAACCCAATTTACGAACCGTTTCTCAGAGTGAACCAATTTGTGCTCAACGGTCTGTGGTCTCTCCTTCTAATATCCTGGTGTAATTAGAAACATTTGGCACCCTCTAGAGGAAGAATGGGCAAACACATGTTATAACAATACTTCATCAACTAAAGAAATGTATTTAACTCTCTCTCTCTCCACTCTCTCCTTGCCCTTCTCAGAGCTGTATCAGATGAGTGTTCTGGAGTCGGCTCCGGTGGGGTCTGTTGTGGGTCGTATCCGGGCGAAGGATCGTGACATTGGCATCAACGCAGAGATGAGGTACAGCATCATCGACGGAGACGGGAGGGACACCTTCGACATCAGCACAGACCCCACCAACCTGTTTGGCATCATCACCATCAAAAAGGTACAGAGGGTAGACATCAATGAAAGGTTACGTCAATGAAAACACACACACACACAGCAGTAAATGACTAGAATGTAAATGTAATAAGTCACATTTAACTCAATTTAATTTAGAATAATTATTTGCTGATCTTCTCCTTGTGGATTATTTCTCAACACACCTATAAACCTCTCCTTGTTTAGTGGAGGTGCCTAAATGCACAGAAACCTCCACAACCTCTTTATTTAACTATTTATATGAATTATACCTATGATACAACGTACCTACTAATGCGGTAAACATGTCTCTCTCCCCTCTAGCCTCTGAACTTTGAGAGCAAAGCAAGTTACACTCTGAAGATAGAAGGAGCCAACACACACCCGGACCACCATTTCCTGGACAAGGGCCCGTTCAGCCATGTCACCATTGTTCACATCAGCGTAGAGGATATAGACGAGCCCCCAGAGTTTGTCTCTGCTGCGTATTACATAGAGGTCTCTGAAGAAGCAGAGATCGGCACAGTGTTCAAGACGGTCTCTGCCAGAGACCCTGATGCTGCCAATAACTCCATCAGGTGAGGATAGCGTTAACAACAAAATAACACCCAAAATGTTTTAACCAATGTCATGTAATGTCATCTTCTGGCCAGATGGTGTCAGTATGATATTGGAGTGTACAAGGCTGTGTTCAAAAACCATTGAGGTGATGTGACAGCTCTGAGTGATAGACAATGGGCTATGCGATTTTAGTTAATTGGAGATGAGGATGGTGTTAATGATGATGATCTGGCGTTTTTAAGGACCCTAATCAGTCAAAGTGTACTGGATTGTGTGGTATTAGGAGACTTTCTCATTGTTTTCAATTATGCAGAGTGTGTTTAACTCACTCACAGAGCAGATGTTGTGTTAGAGTTGAGTGTAGTTTCACTGTGCATCCCAAATGGCACCCTATTCTTTATATAGTTCATTACTTTCAGTCAAATGTTATATCTGTTTGGGCTTCTTGAGGTCAATTTGCAGCGATTTACAATTTCCCTGACCATCCGCTCAAGAAGAAGATAATTGACTTTATGTTTTGTTTTACCCCATATATAACTCTGTGTTGTTGTTTTTATCACACTGCTTTGCTTTATCTTGGCCAGGTCGCAGTTGTAAATGAGAACTTGTTCTCAACTGGCTTACCTGGATAAATAAAGGTGAAAAAATAAAATAAAAAATAATAATAAAAAATTGTCTCGCGGCTGAATCTAGGGCTGGGAAATACACTAAGGGTCACGGGCTCATCTGAAACTGCTACTTCTCAACATTCACATGAGAACTTGAGACTAAACATTTTTGGATTGTCAGATTTGAAAATCTTTCAATATGCTCATTTCAACTGGAGCCACATACACTACCTTACCAAAAGTATGTGGACACCTGCTCGTCGAACATCTCATTCCAAAATCATGGAATGGTCCCCCCTTTGCTGCTAAAACAGCCTCCACTCTTCTGGGAAGGCTTTCCACTAGATGTCGGTGTGTACCAATTCATACCAAAGGTGTTCGATGGGGTTGAGGTCAGGGCTCTGTGCAGGCCAGTCAAGTTCTTCCACACCGATCTCGACAAACAATTTCTGTATGGACCTCGCTTTGTGCATGGGGGCATTGTCATGCTGAAACAGGAAAGGGCCTTCCCCAAACTGTTGCCACAAAGTTGGAAGCACAGAATCATCTAGAATGTAACTGTATGCTGTAGCATTAAGATTTCCCTTCACTGAAACTAAGGGGTCTAGCCCCAGACCATTAATCCTCCTCCACCAAACTTTACAGTTGGCACTATGCATAGGGATAGGTAGTGTTCTCCTGGCATCCGCCAAACACAGATTTGTCCGTCGGCCTGCCAGATGGTGACGCGTTATTCATAACTCCAGAGAACACGTTTCCACTGCTCCAGAGTCCAATGGCGGCGAGCTTTACACCACTCCAGCCGACGCTTGGCATTGCGCATGGCGATCTTAGGCTTGTGTTCGGCTGCTCGGCCATGGAAACCCATTTCATGTAGCTCCCAACAAACAGTTCTTGTGCTGATGTTGGTTCCAGAGGCAGTTTGGAACTGGGTTGTGAGTGTTGCAACCGAGGACAGACGATTTGTTGTTGTTGCTCCTAGACGTTTCCACTTCACAATAACAACACTTACAGTTGACCAGGGCAGTTCTAGCAGGGCAGACATTTGACAAATGGACTTGTTGGAAAGATGGTATCCTGTGACGGTGCAACTTTGATAGTCACTGAGCTCTTCAATAAGGACATTCTAGTGGCAATGTTTGTCTATGGAGATTGCAAGGCTGTGTGCTCGATTTCTATACACCTGTCAGCAACGGGTGTGGCTGAAATAGCCGAATCCACTAATTTGAAGGGGTGTCCACATACTCTTCGTAAAGCTGGGTTGGGAGTGTCTGTTAGATAATGTGGCTTTAGTGAATGCAGTACAGCTCCTCAGTCCCAGCAAGTGTCCCAAATGGTACTCTATTCCCTGTTTAGTGCAATAGGGAATAGGGTGCCATTTGGGACACACACTTGAAGCAGATAGGAAAAGCTCTGGGCATTATGTGTGGGAGGATGCAAATGAAATAATGCTGTATGAACAAGCCCTGTGAGCATGGCTACAGTAAGAGCATCAACCTTGACCTGCAATTGTTTAACGGGGGCCAAATGGTGCGGCTAACATTATTACATGACAGATAACGTATGCATCCCAAATTGCGCCTTTTTCCCGATGTAGCGCACTACTTTTGACCAGGACCCATTGGGAATAGGGTTGACCTTAAATGGGGGAAGCAATATAACAGGAGAGAGGAGGCCTTTCTTTCTCCTTCTCACTCTTCCTCTCTCATCAGTGTCTCTATCTATTTTCCTCTTCTGCTCTTTCTATATCTCAACACTTGCTGTCTCAAATTGTCACTGGCAGACACACACAGAGATAGTAGAAGAGAGAGAGAGAGGAGAGAGAGAGAGAGATAGAGAGAGAGAGAGAGGAGGAGAGGATATAGATATAGAGAGAGATAGAGGATCGAATATTCTAGACCCGAGCATATAAGAGCTATAGAGCGCTCATCTATCGCCTATCTCTGCTCTCGCTATCTCTACCTCTCGCGCCTGATTCTCTCTCTCTCTCTCTCTCTCGATCTCTCTCTCTCTCGCTCTCTCTCTTTCTCTCTCTCTCTCGCTCTCTCTCTCTCTCTCTCTCGCTCTCTCTCCTCTCTTACTCTCGCTCTCTCTCTCCTCTCTCTCGCTCTCTTCTCTCGTCTCTCTCTCTCTCTCTCTCTTCTCTCTCTCTCTCTCTCTCCTCTCGCGCTCTCCGCTCTTCTCTCTTCTCTCTCTCTCTCTCTCGCTCTCGGTCTCTGCTCTAGGTAGCGAGCCTATTATCTTGTTTTTTCCTGAAGTACTGCGTTCCACCCCCCCCCCCCCCCCCATTCATCTGGCTTCATCTCTGAGTGTCTGTCTGTTTACTCATTGTTGCGTGGCGTTCTCTGAGGAGCGCTTTGGAAAGTGGCCCGTGGTGGCAGGAGATGAGCCAGTCTGTGCAGCACAGCGAAGCCCACCACAGGCACACACACACACCCCAGCTCTGTGTTGCAGGTCTGTGTGTCTCCAGCTCAATTTGGCAGAAGGCAGAGATATCGCTGATTACACCTTATCACAACTGAGATGGTTTGAGGGGCAGTTTGTCGTACCTCCGACCTTTACCACAATGACTTATTACACTAATGCAGCATTTTCATTGGCACTTTGAAGTCAACCCGGGTTGGGCTGGCCTTAGTGGGCTAGCTCGAATTGCGTTTCCCTTACAAAAAAAGATTGCAGTTTTGAAACTGCAGTAACTGCAGTCGACTGTGGTATTTTGGACGCAGCAATTGCAGTGTACTGAAATTATACTTTACTCTAACTGCAGTTACACTGCAAAATTACTGCAGTAAAAAAAACGGTGTTATTTTGGATGCAGTAATTGCAGTGTACTGCACTCTGACTACAATCATTTTTCGTAACGGTGTCCCCAGAATGAGACGTTATGTCATGTTGCTAGGTAGCCAATGTGACTGTCAGCTAGCTTTGCTTGGATTTGTAGAAAGTCCTTTGGCTACAACTAGTTAAATAACTAGCTAGCTAGAGCAAGATGTTGAAGAAATAATGTAAATCACCTAGCCTGGTACGAACCATCCTGACCTTGCGAGCGTACATTCTGATCCGTGAAGCGATACAGAATGTAAGCTTGCGAGATCAGGATGGTTCATACACGGCTATATATCACCCTCCGCACACTGTAAGTAACGTCACCCCATACTCCTGCAAGTGCCAGCTAGCCAAATGTTTAGCTTGCTAGCTAGCTAACTAAACAGTAAGCATCATCGCTAGCATAACAGTCTAGCTAGTTAGCTTTATTCCTACCTCTCTAGGCATTGGCTAGTAGCTAGCGAAGCAAAAAAACTAAACAGAGGACAGGTAAGGTTTCATGGGATGTAGCTAGCTTGCTTTCAATGAGGTATAAATACAACCTGGCTAGCTAAAATCCCTGCTAGTGCACAATAGCTAGCTAGCTAGATAATTTCAACTCTTATTTGCAAGCTAATGTTAGCTAGCTAGCGTTTGAAGGCTGACTGTTCTCATAAAAGTTTAATATATAGTGCAGAAATAAATGAAAGATCCAGCTATGGTGGTAATTCATGTCATGTCTGACTAACTCAGTAGATACTGCTTCTCCATGTGCTAGTTAACAGCAACAAACCCAGACGAGCTAAATGTATCAGAAGCAATCAACTAGTGGTTGCATAGTAACGGTGTCACCAGACAGAAAATATTCACACCCCTTGTCTTTTTCCACATTTTGTTGTGTAACAAATTGCATTTCAAATTGATTTAATTGCGTTTTTTTGTCACTGGCCTACACACAATACCCCATCATGTCAAAGCGGAATTATGTTTTCCAAATTTTTTAAACCAATTAATGAAAAACAAAGCTGAAATGTCTTGATTCAATAATTATTCAACCCCTTTGTTATGGCAAGCCTAAACAATTTTTGCATGGACATTTCAAATACAGATTCAACCACAAAGACCAGGGATGATTTCCAATGCCTCGCAAAGAAGGGCACCTATTGGTAGATGGGTAAAAATAAAAAATCTGACACTGAATATCCCATTGAGCATGGGGAAGTTATTAATTACACTTTGGATGGTGTATCAATACACCCAGTCACTACAAATAAACAAGTGCCCTTCCAAACTCAGTTGCCGGAGAGGAAGGAAACCGCTCAGGGATTTCACCATGAGGCCAATGGTAACATAAAACAGTTACAGAGTTTAATTGTTGTGATAGGAAACTGAGGATGGATCAACAACATTGTAGTTACTCCACAATACTAACCTAAATGACAGAGTGAAAAGAAGGAAGAATTAACAGAATACAAATATTCCAAAACATGCATCCAAAACAAGGCACTGAATTAATACTACAAAAAATGTGGCAAAGCTATTCACTTTTTGACCTGAATACAAAGTGTTATATTTGTGGCAAATCCAATACAACACATTACTGATTACCACTCTCCATATGTTCAAGCATAGTGGTGGCTGTAATCGTTATGGATTGGGGAGTTTTTCAGGATGAAATAAAATGGAATGGAGCTAAGCACAGGCAACATCAGACACAGGGAGATTAATTCACCTTTTAGCAGGACAATAACCTAAAACACAAGGGCAAATCTACACCGGTTGCTTACTAAGAAGACAGTGAATGTTCCTGAGTGGCCAAGTTACAGTTTTTACTTAAATATGCTTGAAAAGACCTGAAAATGATCAACAACCAATTTGACAGAGCTTGAAGAATTTTGAAAAGAATAATGCTCAAATGTTGCAAAATCCAGGTGTGGAAAGCTCTTAGAGCAGGGTTCCCCAACTGGCGGCCAACGGGCTGAATTTGGCCCGTGGGTGGTTTTATAAATAATAACAATTTAAAAAACACTTTCATTGTTGGACATAAAATACTATAAAAACAGCTGGAAATCAGCTCCAAGCGATTTCCCATGCATACTAGAGAGACAGGTTATCATATACAAATGTAAGCAAGGTTTGAGATTATTATGTTTTAGTCAAACATTATATATGTTTGGGCTTCTTGCGGTCAATTTGCAGTCTACAAATTATTTGTAATTGTGTTATGGCCCCCCAACCATCCGCTCCAGAAAAAAACTGCCCGCGGCTGAATCTAGTTGATGATCCCTGTCTTAGAGACTTACCCAGAAAGACTCAAAGCTATAATCGCTGCCAAAGGTGATTCTAACATGTATTGACTCAGGGGGTTTAATACTTATCTAATCAAGATATATTCGTGTTTTATTTTTCAGAACTTTCTACAAATGTTAGAAATGTTCTTCCACTTTCACATTACAGAGCATTTTGTGTAGATCGCTGAGAAAAAAATGACGATTAAATCCATTGTAATCCCACTTTGTAACACAACAAAATGTGGAAAAAGTCAAGGGGTGTGAATACTTTCTGAAGGCAATGTATATAGATACTAGATGAGTGTTACTCAACATTGCTTACCCTTGTTTACCTCTGTCACCAGGTATTCCATAGAGATGACCACTGACCTGGGGAAATATTTCTATATTGACATCACTTCCGGGGCGTTGATGACGGTGCTGGCGCTGGACAGAGAAGAGCTATCCTGGCATAACATCACCGTCCTGGCCATGGAGATGAGTACGTCACACACACACACACACGCACGCACACACACACTGATACTGTTCACACACACCTATAGTCCGAGTCCCAAATGACACCCTATTGTCTACATAGTACAAAATAAGTGCACTATATAGGGAACAGGGTGCCATTTGGGACGAAGCCACATACAGTATACTATATACACACACATCTGGTTAATTTTGAATGAGGCTACATTACCATATTATATTGTGTGATAATATAAAACAGACTTACAGTGGGGAAAAAAAGTATTTAGTCAGCCACGAATTGTGCAAGTTCTCCCACTTAAAAAGATGAGAGAGGCCTGTCATTTTCATCATAGGTACACGTCAACTATTACAGACAAAATGAGGGAAAAAAATCCAGAAAATCACATTGTAGGATTTTTTATGAATTTATTTGCAAATTATGGTGGAAAATAAGTATTTGGTCAATAACAAAAGTTTCTCAATACTTTGTTATATACCCTTTGTTGGCAATGACACAGGTCAAACGTTTTCTGTAAGTCTTCACAAGGTTTTCACACACTGTTGCTGGTATTTTGGCCCATTCCTCCATACAGATCTCCTCTAGAGCAGTGATGTTTTGGGGCTGTCGCTGGGCGACACAGACTTTCAACTCCCTCCAAAGATTTTCTATGGGGTTGAGATCTGGATACTGGCTAGGCCACTCCAGGACCTTGAAATGCTTCTTACGAAGCCACTCCTTCGTTGCCCGGGCGGTGTGTTTGGGATCATTGTCATGCTGAAAGACCCAGCCACGTTTCATCTTCAATGCCCTTGCTGATGGAAGGAGGTTTTCACTCAAAATCTCACGATACATGGCCCCATTCATTCTTTCCTTTACACGGATCAGTCGTCCTGGTCCCTTTGCAGAAAAACAGCCCCAAAGCATGATGTTTTCACCCTCATGCTTCACAGTAGGTATGGTGTTCTTTGGATGCAACTCAGCATTCTTTGTCCTCCAAACACGACGAGTTGAGTTTTTACCAAAAAGTTATATTTTGGTTTCATCTGACCATATGACATTCTCCCAATCCTCTTCTGGATCATCCAAATGCACTCTAGCAAACTTCAGACGGGCCTGGACATGTACTGGCTTATGCAGGGGGACACGTCTTGCACTGCAGGATTTGAGTCCCTGGCGGCGTAGTGTGTTACTGATGGTAGGCTTTGTTACTTTGGTCCCAGCTCTCTGCAGGTCATTCAGTAGGTCCCCCCGTGTGGTTCTGGGATTTTTGCTCACCGTTCTTGTGATCATTTTGACCCCACAGGGTGAGATCTTGCGTGGAGCCCCAGATCGAGGGAGATTATCAGTGGTCTTGTATGTCTTCCATTTCCTAATAATTGCTCCCACAGTTGATTTCTTCAAACCAAGCTGCTTACCTATTGCAGATTCAGTCTTCCCAGCCTGGTGCAGGTCTACAATTTTGTTTCTGGTGTCCTTTGACAGCTCTTTGGTCTTGGCCATAGTGGAGTTTGGAGTGTGACTGTTTGAGGTTGTGGACAGGTGTCTTTTATACTGATAACAAGTTCAAACAGGTACCATTAATACAGGTAACGAGTGGAGGACAGAGGAGCATCTTAAAGAAGAAGTTACAGGTCTGTGAGAGCCAGAAATCTTGCTTGTTTGTAGGTGACCAAATACTTATTTTCCACCATAATTTGCAAATAAATTCATTAAAAATCCTACAATGTGATTTTCTGGAAAAAAAATTCTCAATTTGTCTGTCATAGTTGACGTGTACCTATGATGAAAATTACAGACCTCTCTCATCTTTTTAAGTGGGAGAACTTGCACAATTGGTGGCTGACTAAATACATTTTTTCCCCACTGTATACACAGCGGGTGTATTGAGGACCCAGGAGAGTCACCTTCAGTCCCCTTGTTTTAGTTTTAGTTTGTTTGGAATGCACACTAACGAGGGGAGCTTTGTTTAATTAACGGCTTCATTGAATAAACTGCACCTTAATTGGGTCAAATTGGCACATATGACTCATTTGGTTATCAGAAGGGGAGGGAGGGAAATGGAGTGGGACAGTGACAAAAGATATCAGAGGAATAGAAATTAGCCAGTGTGGTGGAAGGACTGTGTTGTAGCTGTAGGCCCCAGGGAGAGATGGAGGGGGAGAGAGAGAGAGAGATTTGTTACTTGGAGTCTACACACACACACACACACACACACACACACACACACACACACACACATGCAGCGCAGAGAGCCATTTACCCTCAGCAGGAGAGTGCCAAAGTCAAGCTATTGATTGATCAATTGTTTGATGAAAGCTGAGAAAGTAGTTACTGCCTGCTAGCATTTCCATTGCCAATTACACAGCTGATTAAGGTATGCAAATAGCCATTTTGGAGAATAACTGAATTCTAATCTTATTCTGAGAGACCATTCTGAGTATTTCATCCTAGTCGGTCTTTCGGCATCGGCTAGTGTGTGTGTGTGTGTGTGTGTGTCTTATACACTACCGTGTGTGTGTGTGTGTTTTCTTCCAGATAACCCCAGTATGATCGGGAGTGTGTCTGTAGCTGTGAAGATTCTGGACGTGAATGATAACCCTCCATCGCTGACACAGTACTTTGAAGCTTTTGTCTGTGAGAGTGCCAAGGCTGGACAGGTACAGAGGCACACACACACATACACACACACACACACACGGAAGATACACACGCAATACCTAAACAGAGGCAGACCTGTGATTTTATCATATGAAAAATTATTCAAAATGATTGCAGACTGTAAAGAAATACCTGCATAATATGAATGTCTGTAATATGAATTGTATGTAATATATGTCAGTTTCACTCACAACCTGTCTCAGGATCACTGACCTAACTGTCCCTCTCTCCCATCCCCTGACTGTTGTCTTGTTGTCTGGTGACCTAAGCTGATTCAGACAATGACGGCGGTAGACCCAGATGATCCTCTGGGAGGTCAGCACTTCTACTACAGCCTGGCACCAGAGGCTGCTAACAACCCCAACTTCACCCTCAGAGACAACCAAGGTAAAAAAGGCTTTTTTATACAGCAGTAAAACCCACATCACTACCTGGACATTGATTTTTTGTAACACTCAACACCATTTTCTGTTGACATAATTTCCCTTTTGCCCTTAATTATTTAGAGTCTAAGACGTTGGGGGGGGGGGGGGTGCTGACATGTAATTGTTTTTAAATGGTCATACTATGGATCATATAGATATTTGATTTTGAACTTTAGTACCCCTTTAGATATCCAAAAAATATATACACTGCTCAAAAAAATAAAGGGAACACTAAAATAACACATCCTAGATCTGAATGAATGAAATAATCTTATTAAATACTTTTTTCTTTACATAGTTGAATGTGCTGACAACAAAACCACACAAAAATTATCAATGGAAATCAAATTTATCAACCCATGGAGGTCTGGATTTGGAGTCACCCTCAAAATTAAAGTGGAAAACCACACTACAGGCTGATCCAACTTTGATGCAATGTCCTTAAAACAAGTCAAAATGAGGCTCAGTAGTGTGTGTGGCCTCCACGTGAATGTATGACCTCCCTACAACGCCTGGGCATGCTCCTGATGCGGTGGCGGATGGTCTCCTGAGGGATCTCCTCCCAGACCTGGACTAAAGCATCAATGCCTTCCTCTTGCAGGAACTGCTGACACACTCCAGCCACATGAGGTCTAGCATTGTCTTGCATTAGGAGGAACCCAGGGCCAACCGCACCAGCATATAGTCTCACAAGGGGTCTGAGTATCTCATCTCGGTACCTAATGGCAGTCAGGCTACCTCTGGTGAGCACATGGAGGGCTGTGCGGCCCCCCAAAGAAATGCCACCCCACACCATGACTGACCCACCGCCAAACCGGTCATGCTGGAGGATGTTGCAGGCAGCAGAACGTTCTCCACGGCATCTCCAGACTCTGTCACGTCTGTCACATGTGCTCAGTGTGAACCTGCTTTCATCTGTGAAGAGCACAGGGCGCCAGTGGCGAATTTGCCAATCTTGGTGTTCTCTGGCAAATGCCAAACGTCCTGCACGGTGTTGGGCTATAAGCACAACCCCCACCTGTGGACGTCGGGCCCTCATACCACCCTAATGGAGTCTGTTTCTGACCGTTTGAGCAGACACATGCACATTTGTGGCCTGCTGGAGGTTATTTTGCAGGGCTCTGGCAGTGCTCCTCCTGCTCCTCCTTGCACAAAGGCGGAGGTAGCAGTCCTGCTGCTGGGTTGTTGCCCTCCTACGGCCTCCTCCACGTCTCCTGATGTACTGGCCTGTCTCCTGGTAGCGCCTCCATGCTCTGGACACTACGCTGACAGACACAGCAAACCTTCTTGCCACAGCTCGCATTGATGTGCCATCCTGGATGAGCTGCACTACCTGAGCCACTTGTGTGGGTTGTAGACTCCGTCTCATGCTACCACTAAAGTGAAAGCACCGCCAGCATTCAAAAGTGACCAAAACATCAGCCAGGAAGCATAGGAAATGAGAAGTGGTCTGTGGTCACCACCTGCAAAACCAGTCCTTTATTGGGGGTGTCTTGCTAATTGCCTATAATTTCCACCTGTTGTCTATTCCATTTGCACAACAGCATGTGAAATGTATTGTCAATCAGTGTTGCTTCCTAAGTGGACAGTTTGATTTTACAGAAGTGTGATTGACTTGGAGTTACATTGTGTTGTTTAAGTGTTCCCTTTATTTTTTTGAGCAGTGTATATATTTGATGAAATATTGATTTTTGCCTTTACTACTAAAGCGCATGGAAACTAAATTAATAATACATTCATCATTGGCAAAAAGGGACAGTCAAAAAATAAATAATAAGAAACAAGGTTTTGAAGTGTCTGTCCTAAATCTAGGAGATATATATTTTTTTTAACGTTTTTCGCCTACCCAAAAAAGTTCACTTCATACTTCCATTAGTTTTTTTAAAACCGGTACCGGTTACCTTCAGACGAGTTCCGTGACACTTGTGGGGGTCATAGAGCAAAACGGAGAACACCATCGTGTTCGTGAGAATCTCCCCTTTCCACAGAGTTTAGTTTGAAGCCCAAACATTTCGGACGCTACCAAACAGAGGTTGGCACATCGACGGTACCGACTTCAGACGAGTCTCCTGAAACTTGTGGGGGTCGTAGAGCAAAACCATAGAATGGCCATGCTAGTTTGTAGGTCAAACTGTTCGTGAGAAAAACAATTTTTGGGATGTCTCATTATCTGACAAACACCGCTCCTGGTAATGATGTAACATACACTGAGTGTACAAAACATTAGGAACACCTTCCTAATATTGAGTTGCACCCCACTTTTCCCTCAGAACAGCCTCAATTCATTGGGGCATGGACTCTACAAGGTGTCGAAAGCATTTCACAGGGATTCTGGCTCATGTTGACTCCAATGTTTCCCAAAGTTGTGTCGATTTGGCTGGATGTCCTTTGGATTGTGTACCACTCTTGATACACATGGGAAACTGTTGAGCATGAAAAACGCAGCAGCGTTGCAGTTCTTGACACACTCAAACCATACCCCATTCAAAAGCACTTAAATATTTTATTTTGCCCATTCACCCTCTGAATGGCACACATACACAATCCATGTTTCAATTGTCTCAAGGCTTAAAAATCCTTATTTAACCTGTCTTCTCCCCTTAATCTACACTGATTGATGTGGATTTAACAGGTGACATCAATAAGGGATCATATATTTCATCTGGATTCACCTGGTCAGTCTATGACATGGAAAGAGCATGTTCCTAATGTTTTGTACACTCAGTGTATATACTGTATCTAACTAGGGTCCTCTCTCTCTCTGTCCCCGATGTAGACAACACAGCATGGATCCTGACGCGGCGTGGGGGCTGGTCTCAGCAGGACCAGTCAGTCTACTACCTTCCTATCTTTATCTCAGACGGAGAGCTGCCGGTCCAGACCAGCACCAGCACCCTGACCATCCGTGTGTGTAGCTGCGATGTGGAGGGCAATGTTATGTCCTGTAATGCTGAGGCCTACCACCTACCGGCTAGTCTGAGCAGAGGGGCGCTCATTGCCATACTGGCATGTATCTTCGTGTTGCTCGGTAGGTCAAGATCTTGTTCTTTTGAACTGATTTTCTCCACTGCTGATCTGCTTTATACATACTTCATAAGCTACTGTATGTTCGTATTGTCTATGTATACAGTAACATCATATTCCACTCTATAGAAACCCTCTTTTACCATATCTCTGCTTCTTCTTTTGAATGTCTTAGTATGGTACACCAACTCAGTGAACTTACTGAAGCAACCATTAATAATCTTCCATATTTGGGGTTCATGTTGTATTTGACCATGTCTCTTCTTTCTCCACTAGTGATGATCTTGCTCATGTTGTCCCTCCGGAGCCACCGTAAGAAGCCCTACTTGCACGACGAGGAAGACAACGTCCACGAGAACATCGTCCGCTACGATGACGAAGGGGGCGGAGAGGAAGACACAGAGGCCTTCGACATTGCAGCCATGTGGAACCCCTGCGAGGCCCACCTAGTGGGGAAGCAACGTCAGGACATGCTTCCCGAAATCGAGAGCCTGTCGCGCTACGTTCCCCTTGCATGTATGGGCTGGCCAGGGAGCGTTTGTGTTGGTGGAGACAGAAATGTGCAGGGGTATGTGCTATCCAAGCTCCTGGAGGCGGATCTGGACCCCTGCGCCCCGCCTTACGACTCCCTGCAGACCTACGCCTATGAGGGCGAGGGATCGGTGGCCGAGTCCCTGAGCTCGCTGCAGTCTGGGTGTTCCAATACCGATCACGAGTATGATTATCTCAATGACTGGGGGCCAAGGTTTAAGAAACTGGCAGAGATGTATGGGGTTCTGGAGACAAACAACCCTCCCATGTGGTAGAGGGGAGGAAGGAATGAGAGACTCACCCCTATATACACACATCTTAGAGGAAAGAAGAGACCCAAACATAGAGAGACTCTGACTGAAACTGAGACATGTAGAGAGAAAGGAATAGAGAGAGAGAAATAGAGAGAATGAGTTTGAAAGGTGTGCTCGCTGTGTAACTGTAGAATTTGCGATAGCACCGCTGAGCATCGCCTATTCTCTATAGCCTTGGAAGCCCTGACGGCCCTGAGCTGTGTTGCTTCCTAGCTGTGTAGCTGCCATCACCACCCTTCCCCATCTCCAGGAGAGGCTTGAGAGGAGCCTGGACGGACTTACTGACTGACTGACAGACAGCTAGCGCCACAAGGCCCTCAAAGCAAAGGGCTTCAAAGCACACGTTAGTTAACTCTCTTGGCCGACCCAGGCCCTAGCCACAGGCGGCAGCAGCTCTTTGGTTCTAAGGGTCCCATTCCCCTCAGATGAACACAAGAGAGGGGAATGAGGGGGAAACAAGGGACTCAACATACGTAGCCTTACCTTCCTGCCCACACTTACGCAGGAGACAGCTACGAAATGCTGATGTCTTTTTTGTTGGTTTGTTTTGACGATTTTTTTGGTTAAGATTTTGCGTTTTGTATTCCAAGCCACTATGACAAAAAAAAAGAGAAGAATAAGATAAATGTTTTGATGACCTGTTTGTCATTGTTGTTGCAGCCATTTTGATTTATGAACTGCAATTTATTCCATTAATGGTAACTCCATTATGTGGCCGGCTCTTATTAATATATTTCTTTTTTCATGTGCTGTATTTATATTTCGTATAACTTATTTTGGGGAATCAAACAAACACTGGACTAGTGTTGGATGTTATCCCAAGGTTGTGGGATCAGCATAAAATATGTTCAAATATGTTCAAGAGTTATGATGTAACATAAATGTTTAAATGGTGTCTAATTGCAATTCTGTGTTTCAAAGACAATGTTTCTCCCAGCATTTCTCAGTGTCTTGTTTCAGACATAGTAAGGGAGATGGAAACTCAGTAATCCTCTTTGGATTTTAAGATTTATTTGTTAAATGTTTCGATCCATATTTTGTTAGTTTGAACCCATTGTTGTTTTGCTTCTGGTTAGGAGCATAACGCATGATCATGCATTCATCAGGACATTGTGTGTCCCAAATTGCACCATATTCAAAGTAGTGCACTATATAGGGAATAGGGTGCCACTTGGGATGCATACACAATCTTCAAACTCTTGTTTTGAGATGAACTGTCCATGATACCACAGTGGGACATTACAGTATCTTTATCTGAAATGGAGAATGGCCAGTTACCGTCAATGTTTTACTCATCACAAACATACCTGGATGAGTAAATCCAGGGGATGTATGATATGGTAAAAAGCATTTAATCAGGGTATCAGCCATGATCAGGGGTGTAGGCCTACTCCGCCATACATTTGTTGCTTGATCCCAACCCTCACATCCCGTCCCGTGGACTTACAGTTGAAGTTGGAAGTTTACATACACCCTAGCCAATACATTTAAACTCAGTTTTTCACAATTCCTGACATTTAATCCTAGTGAAAATTCCCTGTCTTAGGTCAGTTAGGATCACCACTTTATTTTAAGAATGTGAAATGTCAGAATAATAGTAGAGAGAATGATTTATTTCACCTTTTATTTCTTTCATCACATTCCCAGTGGGTCAGAAGTTTACATACACTCAATTAGTATTTGGTAGCATTGCCTTTAAATAGTTTAACTTGGGTCAAACGTGTCGGGTAGCCTCCCACAAGCTTCCCACAATAAGTTGGGTGAATTTTGGCCCATTCCTCCTGACAGAGCTGGTGTAACTGATTCAGTTTGTAGGCCTACTTACTCGCACACACTTTTTCAGTTCTGCCCACAAATGTTCTATAGAGTGATGGCCACTCCAATACCTTGACTTTGTTGTCCTTAAGCCATTTTGCCACAACTTTGGAAGTATGCTTGGGGTCATTGTCCATTTGGAAGACCCATTTGCGACCAAGCTTTAACTTCCTGACTGATGTCTTGAGATGTTGCTTCAATATATCCACATACTTTTCCTTCCTCATGATGCCATCTATTTTGTGAAGTGCACCATTCCCTCCTACAGCAAAGCACCCCCACAGCATGATGCTTCCACCCCTGTGCTTCACATTTGGGATGGTGTTCTTCGGCTTGCAAGCTACCCCCTTTTCCCCCCAAACATAACGATGGTCATTATGGCCAAACAGTTCTATTTTTGTTTCATCAGACCAGAGGACATTTCTCCAAAAAGTACGATCTTTGTCCCTATGTGCAGTTGCAAACCGTAGTCTGGCTTTTTTATGGCGGTTTTGGAGCAGTGGCTTCTTCCTTGCTGAGCGGCCTTTCAGGTTATGTCGATATAGGACTTGTTTTACTGTGGATATAGATACTTTTGTACCTGTTCCCTCCAGCGTCTTCACAAGGTCCTTTGCTGCTGTTTTGGGATTGATTTGCACTTTTCGCACCAAAGTACGTTCATCTCTAGGAGACAGAACACGTCTCCTTCCTGAGCGGTGTGACGGCTGCGTGGTCCCATGGTGTTTATACTTGCGTATTATTGTTTGTACAGATGAACCTGGTACTTTCAGGCATTTGGAAATTGCTTCCAAGGATGAACCAGACTTGTGGAGGTCTAAAAATTTTTTTCTGAGGTCTTGGCTGATTTCTTTTGGATTTTCCCATGTAGTCAAGTAAAGAGGCACTGAGTTTGAAGGTAGGCCTTGAAATGCATCCACAGGTACACCTCCAATTGACTCAAATGATGTCAATTAGCCTATCAGAAGCTTCTAAAGCCATGACATCATTTTCTGGAATTTTCCAAGCTGTTTAAAGACACAGTTAACTTAGTGTATGTAAACTTCTGACCCACTGGAATTGTGATTCAGTGAATTTTAAGTGAAATAATGTGTCTGTAAACAATTGTTGGAAAAATTATTTGTGTCATACACAAAGTAGATGTCCTAACCGACTTGCCAAAACGATAGTTTGTTAACAAGAAATTTGTGGAGTGGTTGAAAAACGAGTTTTAATGACTCCAACCTAAGTGTATGTAAACGTCCGACTTCAACTGTGGATAACTTTGATAATCTGCTTCTTCAAGTGCCAAATGTAAAAAAGAAAAACATTTACTTCAGCAAAACAACGCCAAATAAACAAAGGGACTTCTTTCTAAAAGATGATGTGAAATAATAGGAAGAAATGTTGATAGTTTTTGATTGGGTGGACTCTACTTGAAATATGTGTGGTGTCAGTTATGCTACAGTATGTGGTATTTGAATGTAGATATTTGTTGTATACTTGGTAATAAAAACAAGAAAATAAAACATTTTGCTGTCGTCAAGTCAAGTTGCCAAGTTGGCTGGGATTCAATGAAATCCGTGTTGTTTAAGCACTGCACACAATGTGGCTTTTTTCAGACATTCGCGGAGATCGCAATCATGGTAAATGCTGCAGATGTTGGCTCAAGTGGAAATGACTTTAAATGTCAAGTGCTGTGTACTTGTCTGCAACGTGGCTTTGATTCTCCGCTTCTGAGAGCAGAAAATAAAGGTATTGTACTTCAGGTATTTTAGCAATAACTTTGGAAAGAGAGCATACTTTGGAAAAATAAATTACTTCTCTCCCCTGCAAGGAACATTAGGCAGCATTTCCCTGAAGCATGACAGAATTGTAAGCTTTCAAAAGATAAAGCAGCTATTTAAATTTGCAATCATATATGCTAAATTGTTCTCCAAAGTGTTATTGCAGATGACTCCATTTTCATTGCATTTGCCTCTTCTAGTACTTAATTTGCTTGACTTATTTTGTTGGGAGGCAGTTGGATTTAAAATGTTGATTAAAATCTCATTCCCCATGTTTTCCTCATATCAGTACCTGTGCGTAAAGCTTAACAGGCAACTCGGGGAGGCTTCCATTCCATTATTTTCACAACAACAATTATACAGACACGCTTCCCAGGTGAAACTCTAACTATGAAAATCCATTTCAACCACTGGTGTAATGATAAAACAAAGAGTTTATATTAATTCCATATTCTAATTAAAAGCATAAAGATGTCCCTGTTGGAATTCAAAAAGTTAACCTTGTATATATGGCATTTGTGTCTGTGTTTCTCTCTAACATTGCAACAGACCAGAGGAGGCTATTGGTTTCCATGTGTTTGATACCATTCCATTTATTCAATTCAAGCCATTACAATGAGCCCACCAGCCAACCCTGCAACAGACACACTTAGCCTACAAACAGACAATGATACACTACTATGTTCTGTGACACTAATGTAAGCTCCTCTAGCCTCAAATGACTTCAATTAATTAATGATACTTTTTTTCAGAGAGGAAGGAAAGAGAGGATAGGAGGAGAGAAATGGAACATTGTTCACAACATTTTCTACTGCTTGTTATTTATAGCCATTGAGAAGCATACACATCACAGTGGAAAACTCAAATTACAAGCCAACGGTTTTGTTTTGTCTGTACATTCAGCTCTATTCTATGAAAATTGTTGTAGACATTAATGTATTATAAGCACATCCATATTAGCACACTGAAGGTCAATGACATCCTATTGTCCTGCATGTCATTTATCCTGTTTTTAGTGCATGACATTTCCATTTTGCAAAGAACACGTCCAGCCACTATATCCTTTGAAGTATCTGATACTTCTATACAAGAAAGAACAAGGAAAACATGGAAATTGTAGCCAACTAGTAAAATACAGTGCACCCAATATGATTAATCAGATAATGTAAGCATTATGCAAATTGTCAATCTGTTTAAACGAGAAGTGGTTAATTAGTATGACTGAGAAAAACCTTGCAGACATCAAATACTCTGTAAGTTAACTTCACATTTCCCCTGAATCCTCTCTTTTCTAAATGACAAATATTAATGATGTGCTGTGATTAACCTCCTTATTAATCATTCTTGCTACAGGCCTAAATCCCTTCTACAGAGCATATAGAGCATGTATCATTATAATAACCCCCCACCTCTGTCTCCAACATCCTCCCAATACCCTTTACTGTAGTTTCCCTGTTCCTTCCTACCCCTCCATCACTACCGCCACCACCTCTCACGCACACAGGCATGCCCCCACATGCGCACACACTCTCTCTCTCTCTCTCACTCACACACACACACACACACACACACACACACACACACTCCTGTCCCAGTGTTATCCAGAGGCGTCAGGGGTAATTTGTCTTAAGCCTCGGTGCTCTGTCTCCCATGAGAGGTTTTCAAACTGCAGCACAAGTTAATAAGACGCCTGCTGGCTCCCTTCACTAAT